ATGGCTTGTCGGTGGCCATCTTTCAGATCCAAGAAACTTATAATTATAGGTGAAGACACAGACAGGTAGAGCCTCAACAAACAAGGTTTGCTAGACGTCGGCCGCAAATGGCCACCTTTTTAGCTTTTTGAGCAAGTAAGGGAGGGATTTACGGTGTGGTTAAAGCTCATATGACCTGGCGCTTAAAGTGCAGTCAGGAAGAAATACTTTTGGAGCAGTGAATGATCGACGAGCATCCACAAAATACACGGACTCTCAGCAAAGGATGATGTTGTTGTAACAATTTAGGTTTTGTTGTTTCTCGGGCGATGAGTGAAATGTGCAAGTGTCGAGGTGAATTACAATTTGATATTTCATGATAAGTACTTGGTACTGATGAAAGTGATGAAACACCGAAAAGAACCAGGCCATGCTGGCGTCGGGTCGGCGCTGCAAGCAACGGGCTGATGCGTTACGCTGGAGTTTAGTTTGATCAATGCATTGGTCCGCTTGGTGTTGACACTTGAAAATCAAGTTGATTAAAACATCATAGTCCGGAAAGCCCTTCAGCTTCCAGAAATATGTCACCACTTGTTTTCTCATGAGGTGATCTTCTTTAGACCGTAAGTCAGAATCCATAGCAAAACTTATGGTCTCACCATGTTGTAGCAATCGCGTCTTACATATTTCTGTTTGCGTCACCCGAAAGATTTGTTGTGGCTCACTCCTTACTGAGTTTCATTTGCAAGAGTTTCAGGATCTCGTCTGTTCCACTGCTATCCAGAGTTTAATCGATATATTTAGCAGACCTCTTTGGAATACTTCCTAGAATGATCAAAGTAGTACTAAAAACGATTTTATCAAATGGACGAATTCATTTCGATTTGATGATTAGAATGGCGTCACTCGTCCTGCAGATAACTTTGACTTGGATTATCAAAATAATTGCGTTTAAACATTTATCGGACAACTTTGAAGCATGCTCATCCAGAGCCTTAAAAGCCTTTAGAGTCGCCGTAGGAGCACAGTTGTGTTCCTTAAGAATGTCAATCGTCGATTTCGATTTGTTTCATTAAAGAAGTTACATTGGGCAAATTGCGATTTGAAACTATTTGAAACATCAGAAGCTTCGATTGATAATAGGCCCAGCGTAAATTCTCACTCTACCTCATGCACGCAATTGTTGAAGGTGCGTGTCCATTCTTTTGGTTGATTCCCTTATCGAACCTTTCTCTACTTTGGAGTAAATGATAGTGCATATGTATTGAGCGATGCATGCTCAGATTGGTCTCTCCCGTTATACTTGTTGCTAAACGGAAGCTGTAGAAATGTAAAAAGGGATTGAAAGTAGAACGATGTTGTTCGTTAATAATGCGTTCACGTTTGATTAACCTGTGTATTGCTGTCTCAGCTTGATGTGAAGCAATATGACCAATAGTACTTACCGCAAACGTCTTGAGTTAGTTCCACGAATTGCACAAGCAATTAAATGCGGCGACAAATTGTGTGAACGAGAAACGTTGCTGCTCAATACCACTCTCTTTCAGTCGAGCTGCCATTTCTTCAACAGAAAGCGCATCTCGACCGGGTGGAGTAAGCATTTGAAACACAGTTAACGATCCATCTAGCGAGACGCATTCATCGCATGAATCTGGTTCCAAAAGAAGAAACGCGCTGCGCAATAATGTCTGCGAGTCTTTATAACACTCTAGCTCCTGGTGCAAGCTTACCAAACGCTCCTGTAATGGTGCCAGACGGGCCTTTTCGCAATCCATTTTAAAATGCCACTGCCGAAGTTGGTCTTTGTATCTCTCAGTTGTCACTTCCAAACCTGCTAATTCATTCTGTAGTGCAGCTGTCGTTGTTGTACCTTTATCATCAGACTCTAATGAAGGTTGTGAGTGACAGTCGAGTAAGCGCTTTTCCTTAAGCAATTGCGAAATCTCAATCTGCAAATCCACAAGAGTGCAAAGGTATCGACGAGGTACTCGTGCCAGCTCTGCACTCAGTTCATCTCGCTGCCTTTCCTTTCGCTTTATCGCAAACTGCTTGTCTTGCACTGCCGTTTTCAAGATAACAAGTTCGTTTGATGTGCTCTTGTTTTCGAGTTTTTGATCTAATATTCGTTCATTCCACTCCACCGCTGTCCTTGGCTTGAAAGAGTTCCCACATTTGCTACTAAAATTGGCAGACTTTGGGACTTCATGCATGACGTTTGCTAATGCTGCACTAGTGTGTAAGTTTCTTAGGTCAGTCTGAAGTGAAGCAGCCACTAGTTCCTTTTCAGTAAGTTGCAATTTCAATATATGTATTTGATTTGTCAACAATTTCTTCTCTTGACGTAACTTTTGGCGCATTTCACGTAGAGATTCCTCGTCACGGAAGAAAATCGTCGAAGTACGCATGAAGGCTCGAGCAGGATTCACAGATTTGAAATTGGTTGAGACCATAAAATCACTTTTCATTGCATTCTCTTTTCCAGAAGTTCGACTAGCTGCTTTTAGGTTATGTCTTTCCTCTTCAAGATCATCTGAAGCTTTCGAATCACTTTGTTCCATTTGTAAATCTTCTTGTTCACTATCTGTGTCATCACTGTAGCTTATTTCACTCTCACTATTTGACCTTGTTGTTACATTTGCGTGATAGTTATTTCCTTGTATCATATCAGCAATTGGATCTGTTTCAACTTCTTTACTTTCAACTTTGCTCAAAAATCTTATGGGATATTCTTCTTTGTCAAACTACAATGTAAAAAAACATTCACAATACTGTCAAAAGTCCATATGCAGTCATAAACTTGCTCACCTCCCACTGCTCCTCACCATCATCATATTTGATATAGTAACCTTTCTCCACCGAGTATTTATCAACCACACCTTCATACCATTCGTTCTCACCCTCCCAATAAATTTGCACACGATATCCAACCGCTTCATCACCGCGCATGTTGTCAAAATTGAAACAACTTCAACAGTTCATCTACCACTTCAACTATACATCAGTCTTTCTTTTACCTTATGTCAATACTAAACGTAAATGTCGGTGACCTATGATTTCCGGATAACTTAGTGTTGTTTCATAGCAATTTGGGAATTTGCAACTTTTAATTGTATCACTGAATATCTGCACTGGATGTCTAATGTAATCTATTATTTTTAGCCACAGATAAACGCTTATTATTGCACATGCGACAGTTTAATTAATTCCTATTCTAGACTCTAAAAGGTGATTCAAGTTGTTAAACTTCTCCATTCTAGAATTCACCTACAACTTGAAACTCAAATATGTCACCGTTAAAGAAAGCAAAGCGTGAATCCTACACCGATCACTCGTCTCTATCGGACATTGTAGCGTTGTTGCCATCGAGTTTATCACTATTCTTGTCACCGGAAGACGCATTAAATTTATTAGAACACTGCTCTGTATCTGTTTCACAGGACGTACGCGATGCGATTGCCACTCAAGGCTTAAAAACCTTCTACAATCGAGACAAGGTACATTTTGGCAAAGGGTGTTTGCGCGATTGGCATCGATTGGTGCCCTTAAAAACGGCAGGTGGTCACCGTGATCGCTGTGGATGTGGACGCAACGTTTCACCATTCGATCTTCATCTTCCTCGCCAACTAAATGCTCGTCACCACCTCTTAGAAGCCATGTGCTTAGTCTACAATGGCATTCAGCCATATTGTTTCCAAGTGCTTCAACTAGATCGTAGCTTTGAGCGTAGACAGTATGGAGTATTTCAACCAGTTATCTTTTCTCTCGCTGCAGCATGTGAAGATCAGTCGTTAAAAACGATTGGTAAACCACTTAGTCCTATCAACGTCAAAGATGTGACGGAACTCAAATGCTTAATGGACAGGCTTGAATTGAACTTTGGCTCACGTTTCTTTGACACACTGGACCCTAACGGTCGCTCAGCAAGCATAGTGGAAGCTCATTGGAACAATATTCATGTGGACTTGGCTTCGGACACTACATTGTGTCACTTTTGTGCCACCAATACAAACAGCATGATCGAGGGCCCATTGAATCCGCAATTTCGCGAAGCCGAGTACGAATTTCTAATGCGTCAGCACTGCCGAGATGTCTATCAGCCATTAAAGAAATTTATGGTACGTCACTTAAAGCACGTTCGTTATGTGCGTCCACCGCGTGGGTGGAATGAGGCAAACGATAGCTTTCGGGGGAATGAGTGGCTTGATCTAATTGGCGGGTTTACGCCCAGTGGGGTATTGTGTGGCATGTACCTGACCGATATTCGTATACCGCGCGCTTGGATTAACGACCGCCTTGCGCCTGGCGCATACCCATTTGATGAGAGCGCGGTTGACCTCACTCGCCTTCGTATTGGGTACTAACGGCTGAACATTATGATGCACTCAACAAAATTGATCATTAATTACCAGCAATTTACTACTAGATATATTTTCTTGAAAAATTAAAAAAATCTACTAGATAAACAGTAAAATGTAAGCAATGTACCAGAATTTTGATAAATGACCAGGTGTACACTACTTTGAGTGTATCTAAGTGCGCCAATGACATCGTCCAAATCACATTTGGGGCAAGACTCAAACACATGAATTATGTTCCGAAGTTTTTCTCGTTATGTATATACACATGTATACATCTCGCAATTAAGCGAGCTCATCGGAATTGATACATTGTCCATAACCCGATAATTCGTAGATTTATGAAGCGGAATGTGACTCTAGCTTTGATCCAATTGACTCCAAAGCTTCTGCCGAGTATATGAATTATGTCAATCCTTTGGAGACGCTCAAAAACGAGTATTTTAGTAATGACGTACAGCAATATGAATTTGTCCCATCATACGCGGAACAGCTAATTTTGCGATATCACAGGACATTGAGAATGGTGTGTTCATTGTGCATTGCATATCGTGAACATTTGGCATCATATCCAGAATTTTTCGCACGAGGATTGTTGTGAATGGAACGTTTTTGAAGACTTTGGTCGGTGGTATTTTATTGGTTGCAAGAGATCCAAAATATTGCGGTTGGGTTTGTATCGGTCGAGGTAAATTGGACTTGGTTTTTGGATCACCTTCTAACTAATCTTCATCCTTCGCCATCTCTGATCGTGATAAAGGTTTGATATAAGCATTGGGGGCTAATTCACATATTCCTTACCATTTTGTTTTCGACATTTGATGAACAAATTTTAAACAGAAAATACAAAAATGTGGCTTCGGCATTAGCACGTGTTCGAACGGTCAGATAATTTATCAAACGAGTTAACTAACATGAAAAGTGGCGCGTTTCAGTGCTTATGTGATGTTGGACATGAAATTTAGTCAAATGTGTATTGGGTTTGTCTTTTGGCTCATTGAATGCAGTTATATGCTGTAAATGGGCTACACTTAGCCTTTACATGAAAATACATTCATGTGCCGTCTGTATGCATTGTTGGAATTAATAAAAGATGCTTATAGTTCAGTACAACCTTGTGGGTCGTGAGAAGGGTTGGGCGTATGTGAAGCGTTAAGCCGATCTAAACTGTTTTCCCAGCTACTAACACATCAAAGTCGAGCCTCAGAAAGCGTTTGAATCAACACAGAGTGAGATTCGTGCTCGTGCCGAAATCTTGAAGCTTCGTCAAGGTCGTTACGATCTGCACTCGTATGAACAGCGTGTACGCTTATTGTATCGAGCATTGTCGACGAGCCAATTAGCGTTTCAACGCAAGTTGTAATGTTCATGGCGGGCTCGATGATGGTCCAATCGGAATCAGTTGTTCCGTGAGTATCTGAAGACGCTGGACGATGCCATCAACCGTGCGATGCAAGAAGAATTCAGCATCAAGCAGGCTGAGTTCCAAGGCAAGCGCGCTAGTCGACCGGTACATGTGATGGTCCAGAGCCAAGGGACATCTCATTTTTTCCACGTTTGGGAATGAGCGTCCTCGCAACGATGCAAAGTGTTTCGGTTGTGAGAAACCGGGTCATATTGCCCGGAATTGCAGAGCGTCTTTGCCGAGTCAGCAACAGACATAGGTGTTCGTTCGGAAAACCGCGGATGATATAGAGGTCATCGGTTTGAACGCTCACAAGATCAAAATTGGAAACGACCAGTAAGGGAGGGGCCCAAGAAGAGTACTGTGGATGCTGTTGATACACAGAACTCTGATCCCAACCTGCATGATGCAGATGCAGTTTCCACTTTGAGTCAGGCAAGGTATGATTTTAATTGTCCAAGATGTCTTTGTTGATGGTTTTGAGAAGACACTCCGACCTTTGATTGACACTGGTGCGTCGAACAACTTTGTTCATGCACAAATTATGACTGGGCGTGGTGTTAACCTGCTCAATGCGAAAGAAGAAATGGTCGTACGTTTAGCAAATGGATCTTGAGTTACGATGTCAGAGCAAGTCATTCGCTTGGCAATTTAGTTCGAGGATTTCCGAGGTGAAGACGAGTTTATCCTACTCGACCTCGATGATAAGTTTGATATCATCCTAAGCATGACATGTTTGAAGCGTTATCAGTCTAGCATTGACTGGATGAATATGAAGATCGTCGTCAGCAAAGTCGGCCAGCATTAACTCGAGCTGCGTGGCGACGAACAAAATGGTATGGGTTTATGCATCTATTGAAGAAGTCACAGATGTCCCGAATGATAATGTGGCATGCGATGGACCCCCGTGTTCACAGGACTAGATCAAGACGACGAAGGTAAAGATTCTCACTGGGGGTGGAGTAGTCAGCCAGGTTAAGTTTGTCTCATGTGCTATCGACATGGACGCCATGGTCGATGGTAGTTTGAAGAAAAGTAAGATCAGACAAAAGGGCCCATCCCAAGAGAAGAATAAGAAGGCCACTGAGAAGTGTTTTCCGTCAGGTATTTTATACTTCACTGATCAAGGTACAAGGTGTATTTATGAAGAAAGTGTTCAAGAACAAGATATTTTAAGGGAGATTATTAATGTTGTGGCCTAAAACGAAGAAGGTGACGTCGATGTTATTTGTCACATAAAGATTAAATTCCTCTAAGTCCAGTCAAAAAATTGTTATTCCATCTTTTGATGAGCAATTGGTCGATCTTTTGTAACCACGTCGTGTTTTTTCTTTATGAAAAAATAAAAAATATATAGATTGCTCAAGAAATGTTGTCCCACTCTTCGTACTGAATTTTCTTCACTGTCAGCAGTATCCATACCAAGTGAAGTGCGCAGCCCTCGGCCTTGATCAACCTTGCTGTCTCAGTTGAGTTTACCGTCTTGCAACTCCTTGCGCACAGCCTACAACTCACCCCTCCAGCTTCTCGAGCGCTTCAGCCGGCCATAATGAGGGTAGACTTACAAACTCTCGGACTAGCCCGATCGCTTCATTTACGAGTAAATATTTATCTGGTCAATTATTCGTGGAGCTTCACTACCCCCATACGGTAACCAAATTTCAATGAGGACGTAAAGGAATATACAATAATTACTGCATGTATTGCTGCACTATTGAGGATCAGGAACCAAAGGTGGTCTGGCGAAAGCCAAAATATCGCAAATATGTGCGACTGTCGTAAAAACTATCGACGATGACATCAATACTGCGGAAGTACTCGATGAGAAGGCACGGAAGGAAAAGGTTGATGAGCAGTCGTGGGACGTTTTAAGCTAAAATCCCGTGTATGGACTTGTCAAGGAACATGCTAATATATTTCCAGACAAGGTGCCGAACGAGTTGCCATCTGACAGAGGCATTCGTCGTGAGATTGACAGACTTTCTGGTACGAATTATTGTATCACACGGCTGTGACCGTTGCCAAAAGAGCAAGTCATTGCAATTGACGCGCTCTTTGCGCAGCGACAGAAGGCTGGACACGTGCGTGAGAGCAAGTCTCCGCATTGTAGCCCAATCTTCTGTGTGAGGAAAGCCACAGATCGCTGGCGCATTGTTCACGCTTTTAACAAGATGCGACGACCATACCTGACCAGACTGCGGATCCACGCATGGATATGATTCTTGATGGGGTGATTGGCAGTACTATCTTCGGTGCGATCGATCTGAAAGATTGTTTCTATTCGATCCGAATACGCGAGAAAGATACACCACTAAGTGCAGTCACCAACCCCGGTGGTATGATGTGGGAGTGGTCACTCAGTGATGCCACAAAGTTTGAAGAACGTTCCCGCGTCATTTAACAGAATGATCACGAGTCTTCTTCGTCCATTCAGAGAATTTGCACCAAATTACTTCGACGGTATATTCATTTATAGTAAAAAAAACGGGTGGTGAGTATGTTGTCGATGTTCATCTTAATCATCTTCGTCAGGTCTTCCAAATTATGCGAAGAATAATAAAAAAATGAACTTTCTTTGCACCAGAAATTATCGTTCTTGGCTGCTCTGTTGGTGAAATGGCGTTCGTGAAGATCTTGAAGAAGTCAAAACTATCAATGTATGGCGTGTGCCGATAGGTGTGAAACAGCCGAGACAATTGTTGTGCTTGACCAACTATTGCACAGATACACGCGCAACTATGCAGCGTTGGAGCAACCACTCACGACTCTTTTTAAATAGAACGTTGAGTGGGAATGGCCAAAAGATCACCAGGCGGTATTTGCCGAAGTGTAGAAGGGCTTAGAAGAAGCTCTTGGTCTTGCGATAGCAAACCACGATGAGCTTTTTCATGATGCCTGCGACGCAAGTGATTATGCCATCTGTTGTGCGCTTGTACAACACGATGATGAGTGTCAAGAGCGATTTGTTTCGTACCAGTCGCGACAACTCCGGCCTGCGGAACGAGACTATTCAGTCATGAAAAAGAGCTTCTAGCAATGAAGTGTGCCTTGGTTAAGTTTCGTGTGTACTTACTTGGAGTGTAGCGCTTTGTGATCTATACATATCATGCCACGCTGCGTGCAGCAGAAAGACTCCTCATTTATCGCAATGAAAGGCTCGATGGTCTTCTTTCTTTGCGGAGTACAACTTTGTTGTACACTACAGGCCAGGCAATAAGAACATCTTAGATGATGCGTTGTCAAGACGTCCGGACTATGATAAAAAGATCGAGTCATATCGGCAATGCGAAGATGTTCAGACGATCAGAGAGCAAGTTACGGCTACTGTGCGCAAAAAAACTGTGGAAGGGTCCAAGTCTGGTGAGACATGTCAGGAGTTGTTGAGCTCAATGGCCCTTTCGACAAAGTACTGCAAGGTCTTTCGTCTCGCACAAGATCACGTGATCAAAGTTTTGGAGTACACGATATATTGTTGTACTATGCGGTTGATCATAAGGATACAGCAAGAGTCGTTGTTTCAAATAAAGAAGGTTTGCGTCATCGTCTTTAATATGAGTACCATGACCGCCCTTCGGGTGGTCATCTTGGACGTCATGAAACGTTTCTTAGTCTTTTCCGGGATTCTATTAACCACACATGTATAAGTGGGTGCGCGAGTATGTGAGGACTTGTGAAATTTGCCAGCAAGTGAAACCATCGGGTTCCACTCGAGTCCTATTTCGGTAGTTGCCAGTACCAGCTGACAGCTGGAAGGCTGCGAGTCCGGACTTCATATTCGGGCTTCCGCGTGACACACATGGACGCACTGGCAACCTTGTGTGAGTGGGCCGATTCAGCAAGATGGTTCATTTTGCGCCTGTTTCGGACAAGATCTCTGCCGAGAAGTTTGCTAAGGACTTTGTTGATATTGTTTTCCGTCTGCATACCCTTCCTGCTGTTATCGTGTCTGACCGTGATACCCATTTTACGCCGGAATCTGGCGTGCACTGCTTGGACTATTGGTCACCTAATTGTCCATGTCAACAGCGGCACACTCTGAAACGGAGGTCAAACAGAGGGTGCGAATCGAGTATTGGAGTACGTACTGCATAGTTACACTAGGTCGTTTAAAGTGTGGAGTGAATTTTTCCCTCTTTCAAAATTTGCGGTTAACAACTTCAGGCAGTCATTCTCAATTTTATGTGAACGATGGTATTCATCCTAGGGTACCTGTTTCCATAATGGGCAAGGTCTTTCTCTACCTTAAGTAAGGAAGGAACTATGGCTATAGAGCCACGTGCAAAGCTAAATGCTGTCACATAGTTAAACGCGAATCTTGACTCAACCAGATCCCGAGATGACATGACAGGTCGTGACAAACAGCACGTCGATAACTTTATCGTGAAGAGACAAGCCGTTATTAGGTTCGTTCGAGACGTAATCGCGAAAGCTCAAAATCTCAAAAAGAACTAGCATGAACCTAATGAAATCGCAGTCTAAAACGGGACTCCGAAGCCTAGTATTGATCAGTCAGGACGTCGAATTTCGCATTCTGCTCTGCAACAAGGTTCGAAAGGCTTTTGCAGCATCTTCAAGCGTCGGACAACGCTGCTGCAATGCCTCAATTTGCCCACGATGAACGCTCTTACCTCCATAGTCGCTCAATTGTTTTCACGTTCAACCCTACCTCTGCTATTAGACTCTCGTGGAGAGCGTTGTTGGGTGGTTAAAACGATTGTCAGTCATGAGGATCGATTGACTCGTCATCGTGGAAAGAAGCAATTGAATCATCAACGCTTCTGCAGAGTTTGGTGGCGCGGCTATCCATTGTACTCGGACACGTGGGAACCTTGCCAGGCCATAGAGTCTGATGCCCAACACGTGGTCCGCAGCTACGAGAATCGCTTGTGGTGTTGCTAGAAGCAACACTACGACCTCCAGAGCTTGGATGTGCTCAGTCGTGACTAGATGTCCTGCTCGACAAAGTCTCCATTTTGTTCTCGTTCTCAAACAAATGTCCACCAAGAGTCAAGCTTTGCTGCGATGGGTTGGGTCGGATCATCACTGTTGTTGATCTGACGCCAACAAAAGAATCGCTCCATGTAGAACCTCTTGTCTTCAATTCGGTCGAGATCGGAGACAACGTCAATAAGTTCTGTTACCGTTCATTGCTGTTTAGGCGACGAGCGCTCTTTCATGTTGGCTTGATAACTGGATCACTTCATTGTTGATCAAAAAGTATACTAGTTCCGCCAAATTATCAAGGTGCTTTAAGCGTTAAGGTAAGGATTATGTAATGGGCTACACTTACATGTCATATGAAGGTACATGCATGACCTCACGTATGCATTGATAAAAGAAGATTACATATGTTGTTCTCACATGCATACGTGATTTCTTATATGAAATCACAAGCATTATTTGTGATACAGAATGCTGGTTCCTACCTGGGGATCTGTATTGGTGACGAGATCGACGTGTCTCTCTTTCGAATTGGTGGTGTAAGCCAGTCACTTCTACCGGATACTTTTCACGAAAGCTGAAGTTTAACCTTTCGAAGTTCAAGCTCCATGTTATCAAGATTTTGTATCGATTAAATCTGAGGTTAACCTTCAGCACACCCCTGTTTATAATTCAGGAGCCTAAGATTTTATCTGAAAAACCTCTTGGTGTCCTTAAGCTGTTTTGCATGTAGCTAGAAATCAAAACTTTTTCATTATAATTCAGTATCAAATTTGCCCTAAAAGGCTTAAGTCGTTCTTCTTCCTTCAAGTCGGGACTGTCCTTCTCCCTTCACTCGTCGTACAAGCGTGTGTTGTGTTTGAGGGACTCTTTGGGAACAGCGCCCTCTTGAATATACTTCTATATAGTACAAGCCCAAAAGTGTAAGTGTGATAGTATACAATAGTACAGTATCTCCTGTTACAATCGCTGATCCCTGTTCACTAATAGCACAACGCCTTGAGTGGCTCAAGTCGGTAGCGAGGGTAATGGATGTAGGCAGTTTGTCTCAGAACGTCTACCTTTCCTCAGTGCTCGCACAAAATATTGTGTCGTATGTAAAACTCAAGCTCAAATGCGTCATTTATCCAGTCTAAAACGATGGACAGGAAAGAATCCCAAAGCACCGATGATAATGCGAAAGCAATCCCAAGTGTTCGTCATGGAGCAAGCGAGATATCTCTTAGGTAATTGATGCGACATCGTCATATAACCGATACACTGAATCGCCCGTAGAGCTGCACTAATATTTACAAATACAATGTGATCACCTCCTCAAAAGAGGCTCTTCTCACACTCGTATGCAGTAGACGAAAACAGTACTTGAATGATTTTTTTGGTGCTGGCCGCTTGAAAGCTGAATGCTGTGTCATGGTTGTACTAGCTCGTTAGAGCAAAGTGAATAATTGGTAGCGATAGAACTTTATACATCTGTCAATTGTCTCTTACCACTCTTGGTAATAGTGACATATAAATTCCACTGGAAGGCCTTAAATTATTGTATGTAATCAATTATTAGTTTCTTAGATGACAATGACGGTCGCGTTTTCCTTTTCTACCTCACAACGCATCATCGAAAGAGATCTCTCTTCGAACAATTTAAATTTAATATAATTTAAAAATTTAATCTTGTAGCCAAATTTTTGTCATTATATTGCGAATTGCTTTAACTTTTTAGATGGTTGGTCCACTTCCTGCTCCTGTCTTGCCATATTGCTCCACTAACTTTATCGATGATACAAACTTTCAGGCAAATGTGCGTGAGATACAGCGCTTTCTTTTAGGCACGCGAGTGGCCAATCCTGTTGAAGGACGTACGGGAGAGATAAAAGCCTTTGATGCCGACTCAGGACTCTACACTCTCGTTTACAATGATAATCACCGTGACGTATTAACTGCCAGTGAAACAGAGAAATATATTATTTGGAAGTCAGCGGCTGAGTTGGCGAAGGAGGAAGAATTGCGACAGAAAGAAAAAGAATCAGACCCAAATCAGTATCTAGGCGTTTCAATTACTAAAAGCTCCACTAGTTACGAGGGAAAGACACTAACAAGCTCTGGTCAAGTGACGCAATACTTTCCAGATATAAAGAGATTTCGAGTACTTTTCTCCGACGGTTTGTATTCCGACATGACTGTAGAGGAGGTGAAACAGAACATTGAGGATAACGATTCGGAAAAAAACATAGAGCAAAAAAGATTGAAGAATTCTGATGTGATGAAACAATCGGAAGAAAGAAATGAGAGCAATCAACATTACAATGAAGAGGAGAGACCATTGAATACGCAGAAGTTTGACAGTAGAAAGACAGCGTATACTATTTGTCGGGAAGTGCTGAGAATTATTGTGAATCAGAACAAAGTGGCGAAGTATTGCACTGAAAAGCACAAGGTCGTTTTGAACAATAAAGATCTTCAGGTAAAATTTTATTGTAAAAATTATGTTGTGTGATGTCACAAGCTTACTATTGTCATGATGAAGCCAAAAAGAGCACTGGAAGCATTTGTCGAAGCAGATGGTCTGTCTGCACTTGAGAAAATGTTGGTGTATTGGTTTCGTCTCGATAATACTCGATCTGCTGCTTTGCTTGTCATGAAGCTGCTTGCAGTTTTGCCTGGTGTGAAAGAGGAACATTTGCGTAGGACGAATATTGCTCGTACATTGAGAGATATTGAAAAGATTAGCCATTCAATGAGCCATATTGAGATTGTTTACGGAGACTTAGCTCATTGGATTATAAAGAAATGGATAAGAACGGCCATGAGACGTTCTTTCAATCGCTCAGCACGTGATTTGCTTCTTGAAAGGCAGGCGCAAATTAGTCGAGCGGCTACTAGTGGACAAGTTCACGTGGCCTCGGCTTTCACAACGAAAACAACACCACAGCAGAAAGAGACGGCGAGATTGGAAGCCTTGCGCACGGAAACTGATACATCCTTAGAGGCACAACTAGATCCGGGTGAGGAAGTTGTGGTGTATCTCCCGCAGTTCAATTCGCTAGGATCGGAGAATTCACGCCGCCCCATCCGTCAGACTCAAGTGATCGAGTCACTGGCCGCAAAAATCAATCGTGACTACGAAGATTCTTTGAAGAGGCACAATGAAGGAGAGGAGTTAGAAAACGTTGATGGGGTGACTCAAGGACGAATCGTCTTTGGAAAGCCTCAGTTGATGCAGTTTCAACAACACGTACCTGTCATTGATTTATTCGCTACTGCTCGCAGCAAAAGTGCGGGTAACAATGGAGTCTTGGCAGATGGCTCTTTCCCTTTCAATACTTCCGTTAATGACAGTTCTGGAGCCAAATCGTTACCTCTACCGAACAAGACAACGAAGCCAAAGAAACCTATCCTGAAATTGAAGGATGAAGTAATCACTCCAGCATCCAAAGTCATCTGGTGAAGGCTTTAAACACCACTTTCTAGCCTTCAAAATTCGTCTACTGTTTATATGATTATGAAGCGATATACTAGCGACAATTTTATGATTCATCAATTTACTGAACAAAGTCGTAAAAGTAGCCGCTGATACCGTATCGAATATAAAAAGCGAGACAGCAGCATAGCATCTGAAATGCAAGAAGCGCCATCACAAGATGTTTTTCCTTCATGGGGCCGAACACAACGAGAAACAAATTGATGATTGTAAAGTTGGATCGCGTGGACTCGGGGGTAATGGTTGATGGCTCTAATAGACCGGTCTTTGCGTTAAACTTTGGCAGCCGGTGACGTGGACAAGGTACGATTTTCAACAGCTGCGGAAGTGAGTACAGAAAGTTGAGAACCTGCGGAAAGAAAAATAGCAGCAGTGTCTTGCTAAAGTGACCAAGGATGCCGCACACGGCAAATGTCATACCAGCGTAGTAGCAAAACGTATCGCCAACAAACACACGTGACGGGTACCAATTGTGCTTGAGCAAACCAAGCGTGGTGGCCAGATATGGTACCATAAACATGAGCGATAGGTAGTGAAAATGTTCATTGTCATGACCAAGCACAATCTGCCATACATTCTGTACAATAACAGCAGCCCCAATCACAAATGACTGACCAGCTTCCAGCCCGTTTACTCCAGCGTAAATGTTGATTGCATTGGTGCAAAACACTGCCATCATGCCCATGTAGAGGTAATAGAAAAGTCCAAGCTCTGCGATTTCGCCACCATCACTAAGCGGTACAATTGGATTTAAAACCGTATACAGGAATGTGTCCTTCTCAAACAAAAAGTGAATCGGTTTAGGCAGTACGACGGCTGTAAGTCCGGCGTAATTAATGAGTAGTGGTAGCGAGGCCAGTGGCGGAAACAATAGTTTGTGGCGCCAGCGAAGATCCGATAGGTCATCGGTGAAACCGAGCAAAATCATGGATAAGATACTGATAATGCCCCAGGCCATCATTCGCCTTACGTCAGCATTGTCAACGACGATGAGTACCGTCGCGACTAGTGCCACGACGTATACAAGTCCTGATACAATGCCGAGTGCTTCTGGACTTTATGCACAAAAAAATTAAGAGTGTTGGAGCATCAATGCAGCTAATAGGTTGTACTGACATTGGAATATCGCCCGCTGGAGTTCCGCGTTTACAAAGATCTTTACCCGAGAGCTTGGCAGGCATACGACGACCGATTACCGGAATCAGAAAAACTACAGCCATGTAGCTTACGACGCTGATGAACATCAATTGAATTAGGTACATCATGCGCTCCAACGGTAGAGGCACCAACTCGTGCAATGTTGACTGCATTTTCGCCACGTACGTTTATAATTCTTATTGAATTTCGTACTTATCAATAAAAATAATTTTTTGATTTTTAGTTTCAAGTAGTACACACAAAACAGGAAAATATTGGTAGCACACATTAAGCAGGATTTGACTGTAATGTTTAGGTGATATACACTGAACAAGGTTGGTCTAGCTGTATAAATATATACTCTATGTGAACAATGCACCGTCAAGAGGCGGCGTACGAATGGACTTTGACGTACTACTTAAGGTCGGAGTCGATGGAAAAATTGCTGCACTCTCTTGCCGTGGTGATGATGCTGTGCTTGATACCGGAGGTGACGGCGGGGGAGGGTGTCTAAAATGATTAATTGGAGATGATGCGTACGGTTTTGTCACAGACGACATGGTTTCACTCGAGTGAAGTCGCAATTGTGTAGTCTCATCCGTCGTGACAGAAACACTACCGTCATCATGAATATGCACGTGGTTTGATACGATTGTCTTGAGCATAAATTTTCCGAGACGCTCGTTAAATTCAAGAACAGCGAGCTCGCCGTTGTGGAAATTCTCAAGCATTTCGAATTCGCTGATGCGGTACTTGAAATACCGGGTAAGAATCACGCGGATTGCTACGCCATGCGTCACAAGCACATAATTTTCCTCGGATGACTTTTCAAACAAACGGTACAGTGACTCAAGGAAGCTTGATACGCGGTCGTAAACGTCAGCGGGTGACTCACCGCTCGGAAATCGGTAAAAGAAGGAGCCAAACCGCCGGCGTTGCGCTTTGCATTCTCGAATTCTCATAGGTTCCTGAAAGTTTCCAAAGTCTTGCTCACGAATTCGCGGTTCCTCACTCCATGGAATAGATTTACCCTGAAAACCCCAGGCTTTTAGGATACCGCTAAATGTCTCAATTGTGCGCACGTACGGGGAAACAATAAAACGCTAAATAGACGCAATACATTAAAATTAGTATAAAAGTCCTTTCAATATTGTAACTTGCGCAGCATCGCACCATAGTTTCATTTCCAACAATATTTTTAATGGACTTGCCAGCTGCCAATGCTTGCTCATAGCCGAGTTCCGTCAAGTGCATTGCATTGTCTGGCACACGACCATACAGTGAAGGATCAATGTTGCCTTCCGATTCTCCGTGACGCACCAAGATCAAGCGTTTAGGGAAATCCTTCTTCTCTTTGCGACACAAAAGGCAAGTAAAGCTCCGCATGATGCCATTCTTTCTACTTTTCTTTTGACATACGGACACACATTGTGTTCCCATATAAAGACCGATTGCAGCACCCGCAAGTGCCGCTGAAATGACACTAGCCATCAGTGTGGTCGACGAAAACACCATGTCAAATGTGTGCTTTCGGTGGGTTGTTTTTATGGACGCCAATTTGACTATGTCGACGACTAGACCAAAATACTTTCAATTGGGCACTATTGACCAATCATTGATGAGAATAGGACACAGAACATGTATATTGATTGTTAAATTTAAGTCGATCATCATATTCTTGTTCTTCTTGAAAAGCTGTTGGAGTTACATCGGCTGTGGCAAAGTATAACGATTCTCAGTACTGAATCATATGATTTGAGATATGTCATGTACTTTAAGGACACCAAGAGCTTGTGAATCATAAGGATGCTTCACGCCTAAAACACGATATTACCTGTGTGAGGACACCATTGGACGATAGCTAACTGGCGTCAGCTGCTAAAGCATAGGTAAAGCATCCTCTCTGACGCATTCGCGGGACTGGAATTGTGATCTAGCTCTATTGCTGGATAAACTTGGCGACAATTGTCAATCAGACGATTTAAACGACACTAATCGCCGTGTCTGACGCAGTAAAGACGTAAACCTGGTTAACTCGCTGAATACTAATAAAATACACTCATTCGTATATTCATAAAATCCACACGAGGCAAGGGCTACGCAATGATTGCGGAGACGTGCCTACGACGCATCTCTTTGTTGAATGATTTGATAATCGATGCGGGATTTGGAAATGCTGAAATATCTGATCACGTACATTGCGAACTAATTATCATTCAAGAGTGCGCAGGTGTTTTATCTGCGATTTAACAAAACACATATTCAAATAGATATTTCGCTAGTAATAAATATGGTAGTGATAGACTCAGCTGATGTTTAGTTACGCTCGTCCAGCCTTCAGCTTGGACACAAGCGATAACATTTATATTTATTGTCCTTCTATTACGCGCTCAGTATATAGTGTTAGTTAGTGGATCAATAGCAGTTATGCACTTGACTCATATATGTAGAAACCACCTTTTCGGTGGCTAGCGCATCTTTGGTGTAGGTAACGTCTTGGTCAGCAAGCGATCATCACGTTAGTTGACTTGACACCACTTGGCCGTAATAGATTGACCAACCACGACGCATCCAGTTTTTTGTCGATTATTCTCGTGCTTTTACGATGGCGGCCAATTATCTGAATCGAAGTTCTGCAGCGTATGCATTATCCTTACATTCAATTCCTTCTAAAAATCTTTAAGCAATCCCTAAGCCAGAAGTTTGCGGCCTGAATGCGCGACCGCCTCCAGCTTCACCAAAATTACAAGGTCATGCTGTTCTGCTCCGATATAAAATTATTTGAGGCTTATCCATGACCAATACTGACGCTTGCAGCGGGGCTGCCGTAGCTTAGTGCTTGAGGAAGCGTACTTTAAGTCACCGACATTTCGTTCTTTACAAGAACTAAGTATGAGTTAGCGGATCGCATACGCTTACTCCAAGAGTAATTATTGCCTTCCCAAAGCTAATTGTCTCTGCGGTTTAAAATCCGAAACTAATT